GAGCAAAAAGGTGAACAGAATACCTGTTTATCTCACTATAAGGTCCATGGATTAGACTTGGACCTTTCCAGCCATCTAATGTCTTGAAATGCAACCTAAGCAATTTAAAATTTAAAGTGTTTTTCTTATAAAAATTAATATTTTTACCATCTGAATTCCAAAAAGCTGACACTATATAGAGTGTAAATAAAAAAAAAAGAATGAGTTTCAAATCTAAGAAATCAATATATTATTCACAGTAGAACCTAGGGGGGGAAAAAAATCAAATATTAAACTGAAAAATAAAATAATATTATAAGAAAATATTGCAGCATTTTTATTTGATGGCAGCAACACATATTGTGTGTTGTGACAGAGACATGTTTACCACTGTGAAGTGTCTCATTTTCTTTTAACAGTACATGGTATAATCAGTTATCCAAGGAGAATTTGGTCACTATGGTAACTAAAATAATGACCAGGAATCTGGCTTCAGTCATGCAGGAAATAGCTGCAGAAAGTCGTCTTTCTGATTTGACACACAAAAAATCATTTTATGAAAAGCTGGAGCTCTGCTGGGTTAAAATCATCAAAAATGATTTTTTTTTTTAAAACAGAGCTTTTTGAAGAGTTTTTTTTAAAGAATTTTAATGAAATAGTATTAAAACTTGAAAACTGGAATTCTAAGCCTTCGATCACTGTGGACATTGGAGCAGCCTCCTCTTTTAATTAAGCATTGAATAACGTCATACCACACAAGATTAAACCGTCTGTGTCTCGCTCTCTCCTTAGACTATGTGAAGAGTTCGTTGTCCAGCACCTGTTCCCTCAACAGTGAAAACCCGTACGCCACCATAACCGACAACCCCAGTCTATGTAAGCACTCAGAGAGCAGCTACGTGGAGATGAAATCACCAGCACACCATGAACACGCGACACACGGCTGTTCTGCTACCATCATCAGTACGACGACAACCACCACTGTGCCTGCCAAGAATGTCTACAACATGGGTACATTTGTCTCCTGTTTTCGTTTAATAAGAACATTTTTAGGCACATTTGAGATACACAGTCACAGTACACATACAGAGCAAACAGAGGACGGTGCAGGTGGAGTTAGCACAGTGTTTGTATGGCTGAATAATAGAACCCCAGTTTTGCACTAAGAATTCCACTATTGTGATTAGTTTTACTGTTTTGCACTAAAGTATACTCTCCAGCCACTTCATTAGATACACCCTTCTATTGCTTTTAAACACAAATATTTAATCAGCCAATCACATGGCAGAAATGGGGCCAATCGTGTCAACTAAAAAGATGAAACTGTGGATACAGCTCTCACCAAAATCAGGGGACAGAAAACTGGAAAAACATTGCAGAGTCTCACTTTCTGCTGCAATATTCAGACAGCAGGATCCGTAAACAGCATGAAAGCATGGAGCCATCATGCCTTGCATCAACAGTTCAGGCTCCTGGCAGTGTGCTAGTGTGGGGATATTTTCTGGTCAGACCTACAGCCCCTTTGGACCACTTCACCAGTGTTCAAACCGCACAGCCTGCCTATGTCCAATATGTGCTCATGTTTCAGCCTGTGTGCAACCTGTTGCAGGTATTTTTAACTTACTCTTGGTCTTTTTCTTGATTTTTCCACCTAGTTTTGCCTTTGTCTTTTCCTTTGGGAATACTTTTTTGGACTGCAGTGCAACAACATTAGGCTGCGCTCATTGTTTAGTTCAGAGAATAGCTGATTGCCCTGAAGCTGACCACTCTGTTGGCCAGAACAGTGGAGATTCCAGTTGAAATCCTGAGAGAAAAATACAGAGAATGCAG